CCCCAAAACCCCAAAACCCCAAAACCCCAAAACCCCAAAACCCCAATTTATTAATCAGCCATTGATAATTAAAAATATAAATCTAAATGTCTCAAATTTCTAATAAGTCGGTCTTCAGCGATATGAATCTCAGTGTGTTGCTCAAGCAAGCCTTGAACCATCCTAGTTTTGAGCACAAGAAGAAGATTTGTCTTGATTTTGTAGAAAGCAAGACTAACAATTTAAGAGAAATCATGAATACATGAAATGGAAGAGACAAATTCCTAGCTATCATCCAGTACAGTTGTGGAGTCAAAGATAATCTTCAGAGGTAAGCAAAGCCCTAGGGTTCACCATTTGAAGTTTTGGATAGGTTAGGTCTGAAAAAATTTGAAATAAACTTTAGTATATCATTGAAAGCCCACCAAATTCTAGCTAATTGAACACTCTTTAAAACTAGATTGGAACTGTCCTAAGGGCATAATTTGGTTATTAAGAATCTTTCTGGATTGATAAAATTTTTACGAAACTTAAAATTAAAATTTTGATCTTCTCATTGGAAAGTTATCTCACAACTACCATAGAGTAAACGGAGGCTACACTGCTAAAGGAACTAACGTCAGGAAAGCTGTAGATTGGGACAAGGTCCAGGAGCAACTCTCCAGTGGTAGAAAAGTTTTCCGATTACTCAAATGGAGTGATGAAATTGGAAACATGATAAAGCATTCAAGAAGTACTCAGAAGAAGGAATTCTTTAAAGAGGTCCTTTTTTACTCTGGAGGTATCTGCTCCTTCTTCTACTATTTCCTTGATAACATTATTTGGGCTAGTTCCAACCGCTATAAATTGTTAAGAAGAATTAAAGACTTATTTTCATTAAGTAGATGATTAATCGAAATTTACAAAAGCTTATATGAAATTGCTACTGACTTGAAGCGGGAAGAGAAGATCCTTAGAAAGCTTGGACTCTATGATGATTGCTTTATCGCTGAGACTGAGGAAAGTTACCACCTTATCAGAGAACTTATCAAGATTCGACACCAGATGAGCTTCTATGTACTAGAGTTCGTAACCAATGTACTTAGAGTCTTCATGCTCTACAAGTCTCTAAGATTTATTGGTTCAGATTATATGGAAGAGATCTTTGTTAATATTTGTGGTGTTCTTAGTAACTTCTTTGCACTGTTCAAGACTATTAAGAGAAAGACCTATGAAAAGATCTGACAGAAAGAGAAGGAAATGTCCATTAGAAGAGAAGAAAGAGAGGAGATAGTTCAGGAAGAAGAAAAGAAAAGCAACTTCTTGTTGTTTGATGAAATTATTTCAGGAGATGATTCATCACTTGGTAAGTTCATATAACTCGAATTTTAAGATAGTTCCTTTCTAACTACTCCTATAGATGAAGCAAATGGTAAATTAGAGAAGCAAGTTAAGAAGTTCAACCTTGGGAAGATAACCCATCAAAAGTCAGTAACAAGCTCTCCCAAGATAGAAATTGAGCCTTCCAGTGATTCTACAAAGCCAAATAGTACATTAAAGCATGCGAAGAGTACTACGGATGCCTGTATAACTGGAACTATTACTGAATTAAGAAAGGATGCTTAGACCAAAGTGCCTTTATACTATCAGTAATGCTATAAGACTTCCAAAGTCATGGCAACTGTGTATAGCTCAATGGTATCTATAAAATTTGACGTCATCTCTCTATTTCCAGGATTAATGGTTCAACAATATTGAATTAAATAGGGGTTTTGGGGTTTTGGGGTTTTGGGGTTTTGGGGTTTTGGGGTTTTGGGG